AAAAAATGTGTTTATCTTTTCGGGTACCAAATTGATAATATTATATATGCTATTAACCCCACAGGATCACCGGGTATAAAGCGGGGTTTATCCTCTAACCAACATATGTGGTGAAATTAATCTCATTAATTTACGTGCTATAAAATTCTGATATAGATTGTTTAGATTAATTTTCTTTTATTTAGTTTTAAGTCCATTAAAATCGTTATGGTACATGACTAGGTTATCAAATAATTTATTACTACTCGGAGCAGTTAATTATTACGTGCTAAGCACTGAAACAGTGCCTGGCTGCATATAATATAAACGTAAAATATGTTACTGATGCGGAACTCTCCTCAGGTTGGTTGAAGACCGTCTACAGTCCTGAATCACAAAACCTCTCATCTATCCAACAGCATGACTCTATAACGGATACGTCCAGCCAGAATTCAGCTAAGCTGGTGTTATTTGTTTATTGATTTATTAATGTTCAAATTAATTAGAAGAGAGAATTCTAGAGTATTTATTACAGTTGGACTAAATACCCACAAATACTCTGGTCCTTTAGAGTTGCATTATCTCACTTACTATATCATTCATTATTCAACATCATTACTCAAATATCTTCATCACTGTAGCAAGTTACACTACACACATGACTATCATCACTGTAACCATCTTCACTATTTATCTTCATAATTGTAACTTAATCATCATGTAGAAAATGCTCAACTACTTGGGCTGGACGGTAGAGCGACGGCCTCTCTTCATGCAAGTCGGCGTTCAATCCCCGACCGTTCAAGTGGTTAGGCACCATTCCTCCCCCCCCCCCCCCCGTCCCATCCCAAATCTTTATCCTGACCCTTTCAAAGTGCTATATAGTCTTACTGGCTTGTTTCTTTCTTTCTCGTAGTGGAAGTAAGTCCACTACGGGCTCACCATAGACCGTGCTACTTGCAACGTTGTTCCCAGCAGCTGAATCTTAAACAAACAACAACATTCTCTTTCTCCTGATAGTTCCCCTTCCCTTTCTATCATGTAGAAAATGATACGTTGGATGAAAATGAGAATGTTTTGGAATTCATCAAATCTTTCAAACACACGCACACATAAACACATGTGACTTAGGCTCCGACCTCTCTAAGAAAAAAAAGACTTCATAAAGTACCTGACGCAGTAAAATCCCGAGACATGTAAATCCTTATGTCAGAATCCGTTTGAAAGTTAACGTGGTCTCCTCTCCTGACCAAGGTGTCGATGATCTCTCCATACTGCCACGGAGGTACGTACAGGAGGCGGCCAGTATCCTGCAGCTCAGCAATCGCACGGTATATCCCAGTCGCGACCTCCTGCAAATATAGACCAGACGGGTTCGCTCTTCTTATTATAAACATTCAAATGTTTCTATCATCATTGGTTGGGAACAATTCCTTCCCCCCGTCCCATCATAAATCAGTTTTCCTTCCAAGTGCTATATAATAGTTATGACTTGGCGCTTTCTCCTGCTAGTCCCCTTCCCTTCTATCATTATCATGTCCCTCCTCAACCCACCTGGGCAGTATATTTTATCTGAATCCATAAATCAAATTTTATTATAATGTTACATGAATTTGCAGCTTATAAGAAAATCATAGACAAAAATTTACAGTATGTAACTTGTGTTACTATTATCGTACAAACATCGCATAACAGACCAACATTATGTACAGGCAAAAATCGAAACAAAACATAATTATTACAGCTACGATCCTGCAGTCCTTCATCATCACTCACCCGTATGAATACACTCTGAGGACAGGAGGCCAGAGTGTATTCATACACGTTAGGCTTTAATCGAAGTTCCCCCCCTCCCCCAAGGGTCGAATTGCTGACCATGCCCGGGATGCAACCCCACAACAAGCTGACTAACTCCTGAGTACCTACTTGCTGCTAGGTGAACAGATACATTAGGCAAAACGAAATGTACCCAACCATATCTGTCTTGCCAGGTATTTGAACTCGGAATTCTCGATAGTGCGTCGAGAACGAACCCGACTGTTCTACCGGGACCCTTCATATAGACTAACAAATGTGTGCTTACAAATGTGCCACTTATATGGGGGGCCGCAAATGCAACAGCTAGGGCTAGTGCTCCCAGGTGTAGCAAACGTCTCTGGCTTCCAAGTGTAACACTTGGAGACACACGAGTTGTTACATTATAAAACAAAAACTAAATTATTGGTGAGTACTCCTCTCCTCGAGCACTCTCCCAAACTTCTATGGAAAGACAATTGTTGTCTCAGCACCTGTTGGACAATATTCAGGTAGCAGCCTCAGTCAGGGCGTGGGAGAATCTCAGCCCACGGCCTGATGGTCGGTACACACACTGTAGCTGGTGTCTGGTACACACACTGTAGCTGGTGTCTGGTACACACACTGTAGCTGGTGTCTGGTACACACACTGTAGCTGGTGTCTGGTACACACACTGTAGCTGGTGTCTGGTACACACACTGTAGCTGGTGTCTGGTACACACACTGTAGCTGGTGTCTGGTACACACACTGTAGCTGGTGTCTGGTACACACACTGTAGCTGGTGTCTGGTACACACACTGTAGCTGGTGTCTGGTACACACACTGTAGCTGGTGTCTGGTACACACACTGTAGCTGGTGTCTGGTACACACACTGTGGCTGGTGTCTGGTACACACACTGTGGCTGGTGTCTGGTACACATAGCTGGTGTCTGGTACACACACTGTGGCTGGTGTCTGGTACACACACTGTGGCTGGTGTCTGGTACACACACTGTGTGCTGTCTGGTACACACACTGTGGCTGGTGTCTGGTACACACACTGTAGCTGGTGTCTGGTACACACACTGTGGCTGGTATCTGGTACACACACTGTGGCTGGTACACACACTGTAGCTGGTATCTGGTACACACACTGTAGCTGGTGTCTGGTACACACACTGTAGCTGACTGTCACCTTCTGTCCACTTCTCCCGGATGCAATCATTGTCTCCCATCAAAACTTCCTCTTACTCCCACAATAATATTGTCCGATTAATATCAGAATCTCGATCTGGCTAGTTAGAGTATCGGAACCATATTCTGACCAAACACTTCCCCAAGAACACCAGAAAGGAGTGACGATAACTTAAATAAGTTTAGCAGCATTTACTAAAATAATAATAATAATATTATGCACTATTCAAAACCACAAAAATAAATATCACAGTAATGACTCAGCTGTGGGACCTACTTTAATCCAATTTTCACACCCTTTTCCGGCTTGACTACTGGTAGCCTCGCACATTATCTTAATAAGTCCTTTTCTTGTGTCGCTCAAAGGCCTATTGTTGACCAAGATATCAATCCACCACACAATTTTTTCAAATCAATGCAGAATTAAAAACACAGCCAAGTGTTAAAGCTTACACTTTTAAATGTCCCTTCATTACATCAATCACGTGCAGTCACTCCTTAATCTAACCCCATACTTAAATATAATTATATAGATGAGAATATGGTGGAAAAATAATAAATAATGCCAATATAATGACACTGGAATAAGAAAAAATATAATTGCAAAAAGAAAGTTACCGTGAATCACCGAGAATCATCTAATGTTCCAGCTACTATCTAGCAGCAAATTGTCACATGGGCTTATATCATTAGAGCGGGGTTAAATAGCCGATCCTTGCTACACCCTAATTGTTCCTTCAAAGCCTGTGTGACACTGCAATGATAACAAAATAACAGCCATACTAAATTTATGTTTCTTAACTTTAATGTCTCCAGAAAAGACTGGAGTTTTGAGATGGTTATCCAGGGCTGTGAAGGGTTCAATAACTATAAAACAGGAATCATAGCAATTGGAGGACAACAAATAATAATAGGAGCATTATATTACCCCACCGAATGACAGAAGTCTCAGACAGAAATATAATATAAACAACATGGCAACCATTAATATAATAGAGAGTGTAGTTTCTGTCGAAAGCAGGAACGAATCCAAACCAATAATCATGAGAGACTTCAACTAAGGGAAGATAGATTGGGAGAACAGAGACCCACTTTAAGGATCGGATACATGGAAAGCAAAGCTGCTGGCCGTGGCAACAAGAAACTTTCTAAACCAACACTTCAAGGACACCCACAAGATTGAGAGGAGAATTCATCATAGCAATTGGAGGACAACAAATAATAATAATAGTATTATATAACCCCCACCGAAGATGAACCAGCTATGCTTGATCTAATATTCTCCCTGAATGAATCGGATATATATGGGAAGTAAAGTTGGAAGCCCCCCTGGGAACAAATGACCACAGTGTACTGATATTTGAGTACATGATAGAGATTGGAGTATTCTCCCACAAGAAAGAACTGTAACGCGATGGGCTGGCATACTGAAAGGAGAATTATGAGAAGATAATACAAATCTGAAGAGAAATGCCAAGGGGAACAGAACTCAAAAATAAGTCCATACAAGACATGATGGATTATGTCACCTGAAAGTGTCAGGAGGCAATAAACAGGTTTATACTGGGCCAAAAGGAAATAAATGAGAAGTAAAAGAGGAATCCGTGGTTTAATAGGACATGTATAGAAGCAACTAAACAAAAGGGTGTAGAGGAACTACCGAAATAACAGAACAGCAAAGAGAGATACCAGAACAGCCCGTCCTCTAAAGTTTCTCAACATCAAGAAAACGGTCAATTTAATGTGTCCAACCTACCAGAAGACCCAAAACGGGACGGTACGTCACTTTCGCGGGTCGCTTCCATTTTCTAGTACGACACTTTTTGGCCTTATGTAAAGCATATGAGCGAAAAGCGACGTTCTATGTAGGAGGGCAGGGTGACCAGAGAGCCAGGAATATGTCAGTGTAAGAAGAGAGGCAAGGAGACAGTATGAAAATGCCATTGCAAATAAACCCAAGACCGAACCAAAACTGCTCCACAGTCACAGTGAGAGAACTGGTGAGGACAAGTACACAGAACGACAAAGAAGTGTGTGAGGAACTCAACAAGTCACTTCAGGAGGTCTTCAGAATGGAATGAGAAGTCCCTGAAGTAGGAGAGGTGGCAGTACACCAGGCAACCTTGGAAGGGTTTAAAATTACTAGAGATGAGGTTAAGAGATCTGTTGTATCTGGACGTGAGAAAAGCTGTTGAACCAGGCTGAATCTCGCCATAGGTACTGAAAGAGTGTGCATAATCATGTTGCGTGCCACTATCCATGGTGGCAAGTCGCTGGAGACGGGAGACCTCCAGAAATAGGGAAGACAGCTAATGTTGTCACAATATATACAAAAAAAGGCGACAGGCAAGAGCGACTGAACTATAGGCCAGTTTCCCTAATTTGTATACCATGAAAGGTGATGGAGAATATTATGAGAAAAAACCTAGTAACACTTCTGGGGAGAAGGGACTTTGAGACACACCACCAGCATGGGTTTAGGAATGGCAAATCTTGCCTCACAGGTTTAGTAGAATTCAACGAGCAGGTGACAAAGATTAAACAAGAAAGAGAAGGGTGGGGAAACAGCATTTTCAGGGACTGTCGGAAAGCCTTTGACACAGTACCCATAAGATGTTGGTGCATTAGTTGGTGAAACAGGCAAGAGTAACGGGTAGGGTGCTCCATAGGATAATGACATACCTAAGTGATAGGAAGCAGAGAGTTACTGTGAAGGGTGAGAATTGTGATAGACACAAATGTGTAGCCATCAATGATATAACCTTACCACTCTACCAATAACCGTTGGAGTGCCACAGGGCAGCATCTTGGGACCTCTCCTATTTCTTATATACATCAATGATCTGTCTAATGTCTCTAACATTCTTAAACCTATATTGTTTGCTGATGATACTACTCTCATCTAATCTAACCCCAACCCACATACACTAAATAATGTTGGTAATAATGAACTAAAACAAGTCCACTTATGGATGTCAACCAACAAACTAACACTTAACATAGAAAAGACCTACTACATCTTATTTGGAAGCAAATCAACAAATGCAATTCTGCTCCAGATAGACAATGTTAACATTAGCAATAAAAATGATGGAAAGTTTCTTGGCCTATTCCTAGACAAGAGACTCAACTTCAGCACCCACATACAACACATAAGTAAAAAGTCTCTAAAACAGTTGGTATACTCTCCAAAATCAAATATTATGTACCTAACTCTGCACTCATCTCACTATATTATGCACTAATCTATCCCTATCTTAATTATGGTATCTGTGCATGGGGTTCAACCACTGTAAACCACCTCAAGTCCATCGTCACCCAGCAAAAATCTGCTATCAGAATAATAACAAATCCTGCTTTCAAACACTCAGCCCCCCCTTGTTTAAATCCCTAAACATGCTAAACATAAACTCACTCCACACATTCTCTTGTGTCAACTACATTTACAAAACCCTGTTCTTAAATGCAAATCCTGCTCTGAAACTCCCTGGACAGATGTAATAGGACCCATTATCACCAGACCAGAAACAAATATCTCTTTGATATCCCCAGAGTCAAACTTAATCTGTGTAAACACTCTATGCAAATAAAGCGACCTAATCTATGGAACTCACTCCCTAATGTATTGAAAAGCTGTCCAACTTTTGCGTCATTCAAAAACAAAATTAAAATGTACCTAATTTCATCTTCATAGTTTCCTCTCTTGTTGCTTTAAAACTGAACTGTATCTAGTGCTACCCAATTTCGCAATCTTTATGTACTTAATCGAAACAACTTTACCACTGTGATCATCGCTGTCTTCTTATATGTGCTACCAGTTTGCTGTATGGTGCCTATTAATCTTTGTTTAAATTACCAATCAAGCTGTCAGTGCATTCAATCAGAGCTACCAATGTGCTTTAATATACCTACTAATCTCTCATCTCATTTTTTCTTACAATGTATCTATCATTTTATTAATTCTGCTAGAATTTACCTACTTAAAATTATCTGTTAGATTAAGGACCTACCTGAAACGCTGCACGTACTAGTGGCTTTACAAGATTGTAAAATACCATGCTATGTATCCTCACAAACCCAAGGTACCTTCTTGTATATAAATAAATAAATAAATTTAAATAAATAAATATAAATAAATAAATTTATGCATAGATTTTTTTGTTTTAAATTCCTACTAATCGTGACCCCCAGGCCATTTTTGAAATCAGACTTCGCAATTTAAATACCATTCAGCTTATATTTTGTGACTCTATCAGTACGTAGCCTCAGAATCTTACATTTGTCACCATTAAACTGCATCTGCTAATATTTCGACAACTACAAAAGACACTCTAGATCAAGGGTCTCCAAACTATGGCCCGCGGGCCACATCTGGCCCGCCACATAATTTCATCCAGCCCTCCAAACAAATCCCTGTGTGGTGGCCTTGAAAAAATAATTATCGTACGAATGGCATCGCAGAATTATTCAAAGCTGGGGCTGCTGACTGGTGGCGCTCAACCCGAGTCAGTTTTCCTCTCTCTCGATAGTGTGACGCACAGATACTAATACTGGTAGGTATGTGTTGTGCATTACAACCAATCAGTTGTGTATAACTGTATATTGTGGGGATGGAGGGCGAGTGGGGCTTCGCTGCTTCCGTTTCAGGGAGCACAAACACTGTACACTATTCTTTTCTCTGTACTTTGACAATGCCTTTATCTTAGTTATACAAAATAGCAATAATACTATTGTAGCCAAAAATATTGCATGTTTGAAATAGTTAAAATGGTAACCATTAAGTTTATCAACGAAAGCTGTTGCCATAATATTTACCACTTTATAATAATATGCTATGCTTTTTAACACCACATACAAGCTGTTTTTTTCCTGTAGAATTTATTTCATTTATTTTACCCTTATGTTTTCAGATATGGAAAAGATAAAGAAAAGAAAAGTGGACAGTGAGTGCCGTCGGTTCAATGGCGAATGGAAGATAAAGTACTTTTTTGTGATAGCAAATGATAAAGCTTTATGCATAATATGTACAGACAGTGTTGCTGTTCTGAAGGAATACAATATTCGTCGGCACTATGAATCTAAACATGGCTCAAGTTATTCTCACATCACAGGAGCAGAACGCACTAAAAAGTTTGAATCATTTCAGCACAGTCTGCATTCTCAACAAGCTGTTTTCAGTAAGAAAAAATCTGAAAATGAAAATTCAACTAGAGCCAGTTACAAAGTTGCCTATGTGTTGGCTAAAAAAAGAAAACCATTCACTGATGGTAGTATCATAAAAGAGTGTATAGTGGAAGCAGCAGGAGAGGTATGTCCAGAAAAAGTAAACCTCTTCAAAATGATAAGTCTTGGGTGAATACTGTTGCTCGTAGAATTGAAGATTTAGGAGGCGACATAATTCGGCAAATAAAGGAAAAAACAAAAAGATTTTGTTGGTATTCTCTTGCGTTGGATGAATCAACTGATGTGTGTGATACTTCTCAGCTCTTAGTATTCATTCGTGGTGTTGATAGTGAATTTAATGTGAGCCAAGAATTAGCATCAGTTCACAGCATGCACACCACAACAACTGGAGAGGACATTTTCAATGAAGTAAGTAAAACTATGACAGAATATAACCTGGAATGGAAACAAGTGCAGTGTGTGACAATTGATGGAGGAAAGAATATGTCTGGGACAAAGAAGGGTTTGGTTGGGCAAATTACAACAGCTTGTGAGGTTGGAGGATTCTCAAAACCCATTTTTCTGCATTGCCTTATCCATCAACAAGCATTGTGCCTAAAATATGTTGATATGTCTTGTGTCATGAAACCTGTTGTTTCTGTGGTTAATTTCATTAGATCTCATGCACTCAACCATCGCCAGTTCCGTGATTTCTTGAAAGAAATTGATGCGGAGTTTGTTAACTTGCCTTATTATACAGCAGTTAGATGGCTTAGTTGTGGAAAGGTTTTGCTGCATTTCTTTGAGCTCAGATTAGAAATTGATTTATTTCTCACAGAGAAAAATAAACCTCAGCCATTATTATCAGAATGTGAATGGATTTGGAAATTGGCATTTTTTGCAGATATGACAGGTCATATGAATAACTTGAATCTGAAATTGCAAGGCAAAACAAATTTGATCAGTGACTATTTTGTTCATGTCAAGGCATTCAGAGCAAAACTTGCGCTACTTGAAGGCCAGGTGAAGGTTAAGAATTTTGCTCATTTTCCATGTTGTGAAAAATTTCATGCAGAAAGTAAAGTTGAATTTCCTTTTTCATTTGCAAATGAAATAATTTCAGATTTGAAAAAACAGTTTCAGAAGCGATTTGCTGACCTTGATGCCAAAGCAAATGAAATCAGGCTCTTTCATAATCCATTTGACTGCAATGCTGAAAATCTTCCAACTCAATTTCAAATGGAAATTATTGATCTCCAGGCAGATGACAGACTGAAAGATAAGTATAGAGAAGGAAATCTGATTGAGTTTTATAAATGCCTGCAGCCAGATCAGTTTCCAAATTTGATAAAGTTTGCTTGTAGTTTTGTGTCCATTTTTGGTTCAACATACTTGTGTGAACAAACTTTTTCCAAAATGAAGTATGTGAAATCTAACTATCGAGCAAATTTGTCTGATGATCACTTGAAATCAATTCTTACAATTGGCTCATCTAATCTGGAACCTGATTTTAATGAAATTTTGAAGTCAAAACGACAGTATCATTCGTCACACTAATTTGGTTGCATAGAACTAAAGGCAGGAATCTATTTAGTTTACCCTGATTTTTTCCAAAAAGATAAGTTTTAATTTTTCCATGTTTATACTTTAATATTTGAGGAAATTAAATTACTGGCACTGATTTGTTTTTTTGTTTTTTTTCATTTTTTATTCCTCCGGCCCGCATAAATATGGGAAATATATAATGTGGCCCTTACATTGAAAAGTTTGGAGACCCCTGCTCTAGATCCTTGTGTAGTTATTTTGAGTCTCTGAAAAATTGTCCGCCGAACTGTCGTATCTTCTGGAAATTTGCAAATACTTCTGTTCAATCCTGAATCTAAAACTTTCATATATATCGTAGACTAGAGAGGTCCCAGGACAGAGTCTTGAAGAGCTTCTCGTTCAACATTTTCCCACTCTGACTTAACTCCATTTGTACTAACTCTCTGTTTCTGTTGGTATGATCATGCCCTAATCCACTGTAATATTACCGTCATTACCGTGAGCCTTTATCT